TGGACCTCCTCTGTCCTTCCATGTGCCCCCTGGAAATGTGGGGTGTGGTGGTGAAGTGGAGAAGGGGCCGCACTAAGGAAGAAGGCTGTGGCCTGACGGCGGGATGAAAGTGCAGCATGCCTCCCATTCCTTTTCTCCTTGGGGGCTGGACTCAGAACCCATACATGCCTGCCATTTGTGCTATGATGTGCTCTGGAGGAGGGTGAAGTTCCTTTCCTCATCACCAGGACAAAATCACCCACATCTGCAATTTGAAGGTGGAGGGGTTCAAGGCTCATGGTTTTCAGAAGTTTCAGTCCTTGATTGACTGGCTCCAGAGCATGGAGGAGCTGGTCAGATGTGGTGGCTGGGAAGCTGCAGGTGGAGGGAGGAGCTGGGAGGGAGCGACACCTTCCGGGTCCCCCATGACCCATCTCTTCCCTCTAGACCCAGCTCCTAACAGCAAGCAGAAGCTGAGCCTGTGCCCGCAGGAGACCTTGATCCAGGCTACATTAGGGCAAGCTGCAGTGTTGGGGGTGGTGGTGCAGGTGGGACGTGGTCTGGAGTGGCAGGAGCAAGGACAGCAGTGCATCGGCATCAGCATGGTCACAGCAGGGCCACTCAGGTCAGAAGGCGCAGGAATACCGCTCCTTGATTCTCCCTGGTGCTAGACCAGCTGGTTGGAAGGCTGCTCATCCCTGACTCCCATTCTGGCCCAGCTCCGCGCTCCCCGGGTGCTTCTTCCATCAATGTCTCTATTCCTGATCTTCTCACAGGGCCCTAATCAGAAGATTATTACTAAATAGTTCAGAAAAATTAAAATAAGGTCCAAGCAAGCAAGGATGTTCGAGGGCCTGGTGTGTGACAGCCTGTTACTACAGCTTTTAGGCTGCTTGCTCTTACTCACCTGAGCTGAGCTCACTGGGCTATGGCACACATTTCCTTGCTTAGGAACTATTGTCAGCCGTGGTCCCAGTGTATGGCAGTCATACTGTGTGCTTTTTCCTTGTAGCACTTCAGAAAGTGATCAGGTATTCCTTTTTTTTTTTTTCCTTTGGTGGTACTTAGGACCTTGCACTTGCCAGACAGGCACTTATGGTGCTGAGCTACCTCCCTGGCTCCATGATTCCATATTCCTTAAAATTACTTTAGTTTCCCAAGATATTAACAGACCATTTGCCTGGTCTCTTTTTTTCTAAACAAAATGTTGGTCATGGACTATTTGGCTAGCAGCGATCATTCCTTTCCATTTCCATTGCTCTCTGCTCTTCTCCCTGTGTCATTCTTGGTCCTCTTGCTCACCCAGGCCCTAATCACAGGGTTGGTCAAGGCTTCGCCTCTTGTGTCTGCTCTGCTCATCTCACATCCTTTCAGGTCCCTGCCACTGCCTCTTTCTCACATGCCAGTCCAGCAACAACCTACTAAGTGCCTCCTCCTGCATGGTGCCAGAGAGGACAGAAATGGAGGAGCCCCTGGCCTGACCTTCCCTCACTTCCCAAAGTGGTGTGGCCATGTTTGTCTTCCCCAAGCTCAGCCTTTCCCAGCATTGAGGCCCCCACCAACCGACTTGTCCTCCGGCCTGTCCTGCTCACTTCTCGGGTTGCTAGTGACTAACTGGGTACACTATGACTTCTCCGAGCCTGAGCTGCTTCATGTGTAAAGTGGGGCTACAGTAGTGCCTACCTTGTCAAGTTTCAGAAGTAAGTAGGTAAATGTGTACAGAAGCTCCAAGAACAGCGGTTCTTGTCCGTGCACCGGAAGGGTCACGAGGGCTGGCCTTCGTTCTGCAGCATGGAAGCATGTACATAAGCCTGCAGGTGCACCTGTTTAATGCAGGGTGTAAAAGCAGTGTCTACATTTTGTTCAGTTCTGTTTACCTTTGTAATGCATATTAGGCAGACTGATCTTACAATGTGTAGCTCTAGTTCAAAATATGTTGTGAAATTACTGTTAACCTAGTATTTATAGAGCAGAAGTAGGTTGTGGCATTTGACTTCAGCCCATACCTTTTCAGTATCTTTACCACACCATATAAAACAGTTGCTGTTCTTTCGTCTCTCAGGAAGTATCTAGTGGTATATTAGACTAATAGGCAGAAAAGTATCAATGATATATTGTGATTTTGAACTTGTGCTTTCTTGATATACTAACCTTTCTTGGTATTCTGACTAAATAAAAATATATTTCTTTACATTTCTGAACCAGTAAATAAACTTTACTATCCAAGTTTTTTGTCCTTTCTCCGTGAAGTAAATTAACTAATCTAAACCTCTATACCAGTGTAATCTCTTTCAATTGAGTCTAGTATCTAGATGGAATCTATAATAAAATTATTTCTCTGCACATAATAAAAGAAATGAAATCGAACTTTGTTGAATATACATATGCCCTATGGGGAATTTTTTTTTTTTTAAATTATTTGCTACATACTTGACTTTTCAAAAGAGTAATAATTGGGGCCGGCCAAATAACTCAGTGGATTAAAGCGCCTTCTTAGGCAGACACAGGGGCTGGGAGTTCGATCCCTGGGCCTGCCATGCCAGCCCTGCCCACCCCCCCCCGGTGCGCTGAGATGGCTGTTGAGACTGGGCATAGTGGCACATGCCTGTAATCCCAGTTCTTTGGAAGCTGTAAACAAGCAGATCACTACGAGGCCAATCTAGTAGTAAGACCCTGAACACCTTATAGACCCTTATAAAAAAAAAAAAAAAGTAATAATTTTGTTACTGTGATAACGTAATTTGAGGCAGCATCCTCAGCAAGCTTCATTACTTTTGATGACTGTCATGTGCCCCCTGTACATCTCCTGGTACTCTTCGAACATCCTAGAAGCCCTCCTCTGCTCAGGAGCCATCTCCTCTGGGTCAGGCCCTACCTCTGTCGGCATCTCTGGCCCAGCCAGAGCACCGCTTTTCCCTCTGCGCCACTGTCCTTGGTAGCTTCATGTGCACTCAGGCCGACCAGACTCCCTGGGCTTCGAGTTTACCTCCACACCAGACAGCTCGCTTCACCCACTCAGTGCTCCTGGGATCTGCCAAATTCCCACACGCACGCACACACACCCAGAACACTGGTGGCTCTCTTCTTATCTTCCTGGACTCTGGCAGTGGTCTCTTGACCAGCTCTGGGCACCAGGAGCTAGCTTGATCTGCTTCCAGCCACTGATCGCAAAGGAGCTGTGTGGAGTGCAGTCCCTCAGTTATAATCACCCTTTCAGTGGCTGCCCCCGCTGGTGACGGGAGTGGGCCCTGGACTGCAGGGGCCCTGTTCCAGTAGGAGTATTGTGTTTTATTTTATCGTTGTGTTGTTAGAAAGCCTATTGATATTACAGAAACCACTAGTATAGAGTCCGAAACAATATTACACGAGTATATACTTTTTCATGACAATATCATCAACATTTATTTGAAAAATAGTGCTGCAGACAAATGATAGACATGGTCTGCGTGGAGACACTGACCACATGCATTTGATGTGCTGCCCCTTTACAGCAATCTGGCAGCCCTGAGGTCCATCACTGAATCCTTGGCGCACAGGGGACCAGCCTGTCTGCTCCCCTTCCTAGTGTGCTGTAGTGTGGGGCAGTTCTGCTCACCACCTACAGGTTGTAGGAGCTGTCCACTGTCCCTTGTGCGTCACCACCATTCACCTCAGTTCCTTGTGCTCCTTAGTGCCCTCCATGCAGATCAGTGTAAGCCTTAATTCAGCTGAGCCCCCTGGCCCTGGCCCAGCCGCTGGCATATAGGGACTCAGTCCATATGTGTGTGTTGATATATAAATGAGTGAGTGGATGGATAGAGAGGATTAATCAAAGTGTTCAGCTAGTGTGTGTCTATCCACTACGAGCCAGATACCATTTGAGGTATAGGGAAACAGATGTGAACCAGACAAAGGCCCTGTTTTGGTAATGCTTCATTCTACTAGGAGCAGACATACATAATTATTTAATATTTTGGGGAATGGTGACGTCAAGAAAAAAGAGTAGAAGTGGCAGGTAGTGGTAGAGCAGCAGTAGAATCTGGAGGCCCCCCACACTCCATATCACAGCAGAGAAGAGCAGCTCTGAGCCGAGCAAGTCAGCTGATGACTAGCACAGCTACAAAAGAATATGCAGTGTGGGTGCTGCAGGAGGCCCAAAGAGTGGTCAGGGAAGCCAGGCCCGAGGAGGCCGTCTGAGCAGAGATAGGCCAGGCTGAGGCAGGAGACTATGTGGCCAGTGTAACCAGAGTGAAACAGACATGGAAGCCAGTGCAGGAGGTGAGGTCACAAGTGGGCACAGGGCAGTAAGACTCACTGGCTATTGGGACTGGTGGGTAAAATTGAAATAGTTTGTGTCTGCACATTACATGGGATCCTGCTGACTCGTGCCCTGTGGCTTAAGCTTGCAGCGTTAGATCCAGGGTCAAATTAGGCTCAGCAGCAGCAGCATTCCTAATTGTGCTGCCACGCCCACCCAGATCTTAGGAAGATGCGCAAGGTAAATGAAGAACTCTGGATTGTGAGCTGGGAGGCGTGGTATTAAAAAGTGAACCTCCTTACTAGCACAGTAGTTTTAGGTTTAACTGCACATCAAGGAAACTGCAGTTTGTTTCTAAAAGCTCTGTTACTATGAGTTTTGAAGATTGCTTGTCAATATCAAAAGATAGTAGCCAAAGCTAGCTTCTCACGTTTATGTCGAGAGCCCCAGACTGTGTCCCCATATGATTGTCCAGACAGTCCCCGGGGTGACTGCCAGTGTAGACCCAATTCAGGCACTGTGCTCTGAAGCCTGCATAGCTGCCCAGGCTCTCAGAGGCAAAACTCTGTCCTTGTCTGGCCTGCAGCTTCAGCTCTGATTATCCCGGCATCAGTCTGCCTCTTCTCCCCACCTGCCTGGAGGTCTGTTCCAGGCTTTTCTGCTGCCTCCTCCAGGCCTTGGCCTCCTGTTCCCTCAGTCAGGGACACCTGTTGCTCCCTTTGCACCCTGGGCTGAGCTGTCATTTGCTGGTGCCCACTCATTTTCTTCTTCTCTCCTCTTTTAGCCATATCATGTCTGAATACGGGAGGATGACAGACACAGAGCGAGACCAGATCGACCAGGACGCTCAGATATTTATGAGGACCTGTTCAGAAGCAATTCAGCAACTCAGAGCAGAAGGTAGAGTGCACCGAAGATGCAGGAGGCCAGCATGAGTATGTCGAGTAGTGGCACAAGATTCAGATGGCACCACCCCTTACAGTTCCCTCTTAGGTTCTGATGGAGAAGTGGAGTTTAAAACTTTCGAATCCAGCCAGACACAGTGACACGTGCCTGTAATCCAGTACACTCAGAGACTGAGGCAGGAAAATCTCAAGTTGAGCCCAGCTGGAGCAGTATAGCTTCTTAGTGAAACCCTGTCTCAGAATAAAAAATGAAAAACGGCTGGGGACTAGCTCAGTGCAAGGGCCCCCAATCCCCAATATCAGAAAGATAGAAAGAAGAAGCCCACATTAAACATTTCCTTTCCTGATCTGATTTTACCTAAGCTATTCAAAGTAAGCATCTGAGAGGAGCAAGATAGGAGGGACCACTGCAGAGGGGACTGGAAGGGTAGTGAGGCTGGGGCCAGCAAGAACACTGCATGTGTTCCCTGTGTGACGTTCAGTGGGGTGGGGTGGATGATGTGGGTAAGGTGGAGGGTGGTGCTCTGAGCTCTGCTGGTCGCAGTGGCTAGGAGGGGACGAGCTCTGGCTACTGTGCAATGTGCCCAGCTCTGCTACCTTCCCAGGTAGCCTCGCTTTACCTCCTGGGCCTAGTTTCTTGTCTCAAAAAGATCATAGGCTATATCTTCCTAAGGTCATTGTGAGAACTAAGTTAAATCCTTACAGTATTCTTAGAACCACATCCGGCACCAGGCCGGCGCTCATTGTCTTTCCCTGGGTTTGGTCCTCGTTGAGGCCTGGGTTATATCTCTTCCCTCATTCTTTGTTAATGCAGTCAGGCCAATAGATTGCATTAAAAGCACAGAATTCCACTTGCCAGACGCTGTCTGTGTGTTCGGGACAGACTCGCTTGGGATCCTTCCATGAGAGTTCGGGGGGACCTCTCAAAAGGGTGTGGTACGGGGCTGGGGAGATAGCTAGTGGTCTAAGCACCTGCCTGGCAAGCACAAGGACCCAAATTCAATCCCAGGTACTGCATGTCATGCTGGCCCGGCACCAAGCCAGCCACTGAAACTGGGCGTGGTGGCACATGCCTGTAATCCCAGTGCTGGGGAGGCTGAGACAGGAGGATCACTATGAGTTGGACCTACGTTGTGAGACCCTGTATCAAATATATATATATATATATATATATATATATATATATATTTTTTTTTTTTTTTAAGAGTAGCAATGTGCTGAAAGCAGTGAATGTTTCTGCCAGAAAAGTACACATACAAAGAGACTGTCTGTGCACTCTCATGAGGTTGTCTCAGCAGACTTCCGTTCAGAAATTCATGTAGGAAAGGCATCCTTTTGGCTAGGAGTCAGAGGTAGCTCCTGAGAGGGACAGTTTGACTTGGAATGTAAGGAATTCTGGGAATGTTGGGGGGGGACAAGGGACACATAGGCCAGGGACTGTGTGGTCGGGTTTGATTAACCTGTTACTGGAAGGTCAGCATGTGCATGGGCTACTGTTAATCCCGCAGGGCCAGCACTCAAGCAGGAGCTTCAACAAATACTGTCACTAGGTGCTGGAATCAGCCATAAATTAGACGGCTACAGTTTTCCTGTGGGCTTAGTTTTTCACTCTTAAAGCCTAGTAAATCTTACTCTTAAAAATGTACTCTCCCTTTGCACAAGACATTTTATAGCCACGTTTTTAAAAATATCCTCAATAAAGTAACTAGTGCAGATGAGTTGTCTCCAGGACTGCTAGTACAAAGCTCTGAGTGCTGTCCTTTTCTCTTTTAGCCCACAAGGAGATCCATTCCCAGCAAGTGAAGGAGCACAGGACTGCCGTTCTGGATTTCATTGAAGATTACTTAAAAAGTAATTCATTTTCTCTTATGGGTCAAGTGTGGCATTTCACAGTAAATGTAGCTCAGATTGCAGTTTTGCTAGCTGAAGGCTGTCATGTCTCATTATATTTAATGATTCCTTTGCCCAAGAAGCCATTTTAAATGGGTTCTGTCTGATCTCCCTCGGCAGGAGTGTGCAAGCTTTACTCAGAGCAGAGAGCCATCCGGGTGAAGCGCGTGGTGGATAAGAAGCGCCTGTGAGTACCGCGGGTAGCGCACAGTGATCACCGCCGCAGCTCTGTGTGCAGGCACTTTCGTATCATGTGCTGGCTTGCTTTCTCCACGCTGTGCCGTGGCCAGTGCTTACCGCACGTGTGCTGGTGCCACATACCATGCTGGCCACTGTGTAGTCTCAGACCCGCCTCATTTCAGGGTCGAGGAGGCCAAGCCCAACAGGTGTGGTTGCTCACCCACAGTTCCCCTGCCACAGCTCTCCAAAGTGAGACCTAGGCCAGGCTGTTGTTTCCACTTTTGTGCTGTTGCCCACATAGCTCCACCAGCCCATCAGGCAGCCAATGGTAGCTGCTTTGCCCTGGTCTCTGCCCCACCTGTCCTCGTCACCTCTGAAGGGTTGTCCTTAAGCACGAGCTCAGGTCCCGTGGCCAATGCTTCCCTCATGAGGCCCTACTTGGGTCACCAGAGGCCTAACAGACTGCTTGAGAAGTGCTCTGGGCTCTGAGCACACGTCACACTGCACAGCACCCATCTCCTGAGGACCTATGCTGGGCCCCCACATCTGAGAGGACAGTGGAGCTCCACAGGTTTGATGACTTGTGCACAGCCACATACCAGGGTGTGTCTCTCCCAGTACCAGTCTGTGTGTCTGGGCCTAAGTGACCAGGTATGAGCTTCTAGGGCTCTCTTCCCGCTGAAATGGTAAAGCACACTTATGAGGGTGTGTGGAGTGTTGTCCTCTAGGGACACAAGTAATTCAGAACGATTTGTTGGGGCTGGACACATGGGTACCTTCTGCCTGGCACAAACCTAAAGTCCAGATTCCCAGAGGGAAGTAGATATCCAGCAGTGAAGCACCTTCCCATCCACAGTGTCTGCTCGGTTCAGGCATGGGCAGCTGCTCTTCCTTGTGGGGGGTGGGGGGAGCTCCCCGATAGTCCCGGTTCTAGGGCCTCTTCTCTGCATGCTTGTCAATGGGATTTGAAAGTGCGGATGTCACAGACAGAAACATTCGTGGAAGACAATACATGAGGTGCCTGTCGGCACATACTGCTACTTCTCATGCAGTGTGCTGAGCAAGTCTATGATAAAGGCCCTGCCTTCAGGGGGCTGAGAAGCAGGCCAGGCTGCTACTGTAGGTAAAGAGGAATCCAGGACATGCAGGTTACTGAGGTCATAGCGATTTCTGAGAGGGAAGTGGTGTGATTGAGTAAAATAGCAGGGTGGCAGAATATTCCCAGCACAGTGAGGCCATCTGGCCAGCAGACGCAGGGAGCAAGTGAGAGAGTGAGGTGGTCCTGGGGTCTTGCACCAGCAGGGAGGAGAGGCAGACGCCTGCTTCATGGTCCTGGGGGAGACCAGACCATCCAAGTCAAGTGAAGAGAGACTCTGCTGTCTGCTCAGTTCTTGGCCTACAAGAGGTCTGAACTGAAACACAAATTAGAACTGGCCGGATGGAACTTACTGTCCTTTAGACAGTGAGGTGCAGTAGCCTCTCCTGCCTGCTAACTGCCTGTGCCGGGTACCCTGAGCACAGGAGCTCCGGGGAGGTGCCTGAGCCTCCAGGGCAGCCAGCGCTCTCCTTCTAGTTCTCTGCTCACTTTGGGCAGACGGCAGCTGCCTAAAATTGCGCGCGCCACACCCTCACTCCCTGCATCTTAGGAAGAAGGCTGAATGCCACAGCCTTTAAAGCCTTGGCTTCTGGACTTTTGTTTCTTAGTCCCCACTGGTACGCCAGGCCCTGCGTGTACTGTGTTCTGCAGAGGGCTTGCCCATGAGGCTGTTGTGCCTTTGTCCTTGCTGACTTCCCCACTCATAGCTTTCACTAGAACTTAGCTCACTTCTCCCAGCACCTACACTCTGCCTGCCTGGTGAGCAAATTCCTGTTTGTCCTTCCCGTCCCAGCCCACATTGCTCTCTGGGAAGTCTCCCCAGCCCCATGGACAGTTCTGGCTGTTTGCTTAGCGGTTCTCTGCTCGGTGTCAGAGTCGGGGGCAGCAGGTTCTCTCCGACAGCTGCACGGGTGTGCATGTCCAGCACCACAGCCCAGTGCGCAGCAGAGCGCCGGGCCTCAGCAGAGCAGGCAGTGGACCTTGCGCATTCTGAAGCTGGACTGGTGGGGGGTTTGTATATTATTTTGTTTCATTTGTCAGTAGGTTTTGTTAAAAAGGCATTCTTGGCCAGGCATGATCCTAGCACTAGGACATACAGGCCAGAGAGTTTGCGAGAGTTCAAGACCGTGCTCCAGTCTGAGCTGCTGAGCAAGTCCCTGTCTCAATAAATAAATAAATAAATAAATAGTCATTCTTATACAGTTTCTTTGAGAAATCCACCTGCTCATGTCTTTTTTGCTTCTATCATATTTGTTTTGGTTTTGGTGAAAGAAAAATGTATTTGTTAGGTAAGGAGGAGCTCAACTGTTTAAACTTTTTAAAATTCACTTTTGTTAGTCCACATTTGGAGTACATAATGATTACATACATCCCGGGGGGAGGGGTTAGTGTGTGTATCTCGCACATCTTAATTATTTTTACTTTCTTTTTCTTTTTACTTTCTCCTCCCTCCTGCCTTATTATATAATCTTTTGACACTATAGGAAAAAATACTTTACACCAGGATTTATTTTGATAGAACAGTGATATTGTATTATAATCTATCATATTAAGGGGCCCTTATTCCATACTGGGTGAAGATATTTTGCTCATTGAGCGAGAAATAGTCTTGGTTGACCTTTCTGTGTTTTTTCTACTAGACTATATCTTGATAAAATGACAGTGCTGTTGTTAGAAGTAACTGTTTCCCTCCTGTGGGCTTTTTCTGTCCTGACCTGATGTGGTATCTGTTGCCAGTTCCCAAAAGCCGGATGGAGGGGTGCCAACAGCTCTTCATCTCTGTGCTTTCTCCTGCAGTGAGACTCTGAGTCCTTTGAAGGCAAGAACTGCTGTGTGTAATCTCTCTGGCCCCAGGACCTTTATCTGAGCTCAGCACAAAGTAGGTGCTTGATTAATAGTCCCGGCTTGTCAGGTCTGTATAGTAAATGCTTGTGCACTGGCCTGGTCCTGGACACAGACCTGCACAAGTAGTCTTGTCATCCCCAAAAGGTTGAAGCCTCTGCTCTTGTCCTACCCACCTACCAGCATTGGGAGTTTGGTTATGATTTTTCTTGAAGTCACTGGCTGTATGCCTCCTGGCTTACATACCTCCCAAGTCTGAATTAATCAGAAACACGTTTTCGTAGCAGAATTTTGCTGCATTTCATTGTCTTCCTTTCATAAAACACTACCTCTCAAAACACATAGTACCGCCACATTTTTTGCACCCTAAAGAGTGTACTTATGCATGGCCCTCTGAGATTTGGTCTGCTTTGTAAGACTGGTGTAGGCAGGGCTGCCTTTCACCTCTGCCCACAGCCCTAACTCAGGCTCTTGTCCGGGGTAAGAGCTCAGTGCACTGCCCCAGTGACAGGACGATGGCAGCAGTGATAAGGGTGAAGCAAAGAAAAGGAAGCAATGCCTTGCGATGCCAAAGCCCTAGCCTGGAGAAGCAGTCAGCATGCGGGCCTGTGGGCCAGAGCCAGGTCTTGTGTACAGCCCTCAGCTAAACATAGCCTTTATATTTTTAAAAGTTTATAAGATAAAAAATAAGACTAGGTGGGCCAAAATAGCTCAGTGGATTAAAGCTACTGCAAGCAGGCGCAAGGGCCAGGGGTTCGATCCCCGGGCCTGCCATGCTGGCCTTGCCTCCAGGGCGTGCTGAGACAGCAATAGAGACTGGGCGTGGTGGCGCACGCCTATAATCCCAGCTCTTGGGAGGCTGTAAATAGGCGGATCACTATGAGTCCAATCTAATAGAGAGACCCTGAACACCCTGTAGACCCTTCCCTAAAATTAAAAGCATAAAAAAATAAAAACTAAGACTGTAGGCAAAGACTGCATATGACTGTATAGGCTGAAGATGCCACCTGCCCCTTATAGGGAAAGCATCTTCACCCTGGCCCAACACCGGCTCCCTGGAGTAAAGAACCATTTCTGTTGAGAATTTTGCAGTCTGTCATGGACTGATACGTACTCTGCTGCATAGTCTCAGGTTGGACCCCAGGTGACAGAATGCACTGTTGAAAGGGCAAAGTCAGATGACTATAAATGCATCCTCTGCGTATTTAGAGCTGTCTCACAGCAGACCCGTAACAACTTGTAGTCTGGTGCTTGTCTGTGGGTCACAGTTTGAAGAGCACTAGCGTAGAAGATCCCCAGGTAAATCCAGAGAATATCTGTTGAGTGAGCGCTGCATGGTGGTGCAGATGGCTTAGTCACACGCTGTGAGCTGCCCCTGACTGGGGGGTGGGGGGGATATAGCACCTCTGCCCAAGAGGAGACCTTAGCCTGAAAGTGCCTTTGGAAATTATGGTACGAAGGTAGGATTTATCAAAGCCATCTTTCCATCCAGAGCCTTTGTCGGGGGCATGAAGGAAATAGAAGCACAATACCTAAGTCTGGAATAGCAGCCACCTTCTCTGTGATTTGTGTAGTGCTTCTTCAAGGTTTGCGAAGACTGTCTCCCACATATTTTCTTGTTTCAAAGCTGAAAAATTGGTCTCTTTCTCTGTTTTTTAAATTTTAAATAGAATCCTGGGGTTTTCCAAGTGAGGAGCCTAGAAACATATGTTGGCCAGGTGGAACCTCTGTCAGTGGCAGCTATGCAATGCTCAGCTTTCCGTTAGAAAAGTCAGTGTAAATAAATCATGGGGCATGAGCTGATTTTTCTGATGACTTTAAATTGCTTTTTTTTAAAAAAAAATTGCCTTCAATTAGTTAATTTGTACTTTCCCTGAGGACTTGAGTAGGCAGTCTGTGCATAATTAGAATCTGTTTTTATCACTTAAAGGAAAAAAGAAAGCACTTCACTTTGTCTCAGTCTGCTGCAATGCAGTCTTTTATTCTTCTTAAATTGAAAACGGGTACATTGGGCACAAAGGATGACAGCCGTTAAAGGAGCCGTTTATTTAAAAGTCAATTAAGCTGTGCTCCCTACTGAACAATGCAGTGCTGAAGCCCTCCTTGAGGTAGGACAGGGTAGAGAGGGTCCACAGTAGGGGGAGACTGCGTTCTGGTACAGATGTCAGAGCCAGGTGAGGAGCGGAGGGCTGGGCAGCATGGGGTCATCCACAGGAAGAGTGGTGGTGGCGATGAGGGGTGGCCATGTACAGGGGTTGATGCAGTAGCAAACGTGGAGATACTAGAAGCCACTCTCTCGATAAGGAGTGAAAGGGAAAGGAGTGAACTCTCATCTTGGGGTGGAACAAAAGATACTGATGTAAAGACATC